CCTACACAAAAGGTATTTGGAACATCAAATGAAAACAAGTACATTATACTTATCCTGACTGGCAGAGTAAGAAAAATCCAAGAGAAATAATAACAGGGTTGTTTTTAGAACACCTTTAAGATGATACCACCAGTGTGTAAGAAAGCGGTACAATAGCCAACAAGTCCAAAAAGGGATATGGTGGGTTAAGAAAATGCTTATCTTGGCTTTATATCGTCTTCTCCACAGCATGTCACTTTTTTTTTTTCTCTTCAAAAAGGAAAAAAAAGTATCTTCAACTCAACAGGTATAACCTTGCTAAAAAATATTTCAACATACACATTTTTATTACATTACTGCCCATAAATATTGCATTTCATAAGATTTATCTGTAAATAGAGTGTATTTTTCATGCAATAGTTAGATTATTTAAAGTACTATTATATCCTCTGACAACTAAGATCAGAGGGGAGAAAATTGATGAAATTATCAGCAATTTTGGATAAAACTTAAACCATCTTTTGAAAGAAACAAGAAATTTAAGAATTCTCACAATTACATAATTTTTTATACATGCCCCAAAGTATCTACAATGAAACTGCAAAATTACTCATTTTAAAGTGTTCCTTTTCTTTTTAACCTACAACTACTACTGTGTTATCTGTCACCTGATCTTTTAATCAAATACCCTGAAGGACACAGAGTGAATAGCTGAAATCGGTATCTGTTTAAGTCTTGCTTATTTTGAAAGAAAAAAATAAACTAATTAAAAAAAAAATCCTAATAATCCTTACCCCACATCATCTGGAACCACATGAGTAGTCACCAAAGGTCTTTTCTTTCCATGCTTGTCCATTACTGGTGTTTTGCCTTAATACAGATTTTAAAAAGACTTACAAAAATATCTTATAATTTGTGAAGTTGTGTTCTCTTCAAAATTCTCTTATCAAAATTATATAATAGGGGTTCAATACACAATAGGTTCGTAATAAACATTATGAACCATGCTTACAAAGACACTCGCTAACACAGAAGTCTCTTCGTTCATAGTCAGAAATACTATGAATATTAAAAAATTACATAAACACCTTCTCTAATATCTTCCTCTGATCCACTCAGCTCTTTTCTTTCCTCCTGAAAGTCATAGGAAGGTATGGGTTGATCTTCCTGTGCTGGTTTACTAGCTTTTCCTCCATGCTTTCTTCCTGATGGTGCCATAGTAAGGTTTTCCTCCTACTGAAACAGTATGTTGTATGTGTTAAGTTTCCCCACAACACTTTGAAGATAAATTATGTTTTCATGCTTACACTGACCTGTTATGGACACCCCTGTAAACAGTTTCCACCTGTAAGGATATTCAAGCAGTCAAACTGCTTTAGTTTTGAGGTAACCCACAGGATTACCTATCAGTAGCGGTGTTAAGAACAGGGTAAAATAAATACCAGGGCTAGTAGGCACATATTCTATTCTGCTGAAAACCAAGGAAGTAAATAATGCACTTCCTTACGGTGCCTGCGTCTCTGCTGCTAAACAAAGTGTAACTTAAAACTGCAAGCATATATTTTAACTCACAGGCAGTTTCCTTTGTACAGAAAAACAGCATACAAAGCAGAACCCCCCAGTGCCCCCATACACTGTAACCCAACTTTGCTGCCTCACAACCCCACACATCCTTCACCTATCCTGTGTAGCTACCTGCTTCAGCCAACTCAGGTATCTTTGATCCACAGTTGTGTACTTAACTATTTTTCGGAGAAACTCACCTCCTTTTTTTCAACCTGCCTAAGAAGATGTGAAATAAACCAGCATTTGTATGTATTTCCTGCGTGGGGCTTTCCACCATGGGGGCCCACCTATTTCTACCTCAGAGCAGCAAGGGAGACAGGCCCACACCCCTGCTTCAGCCAACTCAGGTATCTTTGATCCACAGTTGTGTACTTAACTATTTTTCGGAGAAACTCACCTCCTTTTTTTCAACCTGCCTAAGAAGATGTGAAATAAACCAGCATTTGTATGTATTTCCTGCGTGGGGCTTTCCACCATGGGGGCCCACCTATTTCTACCTCAGAGCAGCAAGGGAGACAGGCCCACACCCCCACCACAGCAGGTTTTGGGAGGAAGCCACTATGGTGTCCTGACCTTACTCCTCACTCTCCACCCAAACCCCTTTCATCCCTCTGCCTGTGCCCTGCATTGGCCTCTTCCCCACTTTCACCCCCACGCAGCACCCACCACAGCCACTGCCTCTTC